CTCATTGCCAGGCTGCGTGAGCTCAACGCTCATATCTCAGGCCTAGGCCTCTCAACCTTTCCCTACCCTAGGGGGATCAGCGCTCGAGTTTTTGTGCCTCACGACGCCGACGGCCCAGAGGCCCTCCGCCCATACCGAGATGCTGACCCAGACCGACTGAAGATCTCCGGTACCGGATCCTGGAACCTTGAAGCCTTCCTCTCCCCAGAGCTTAGGCTGGCGTACCGCGAGCCCCATGTGCTCCGATCTATCCCTCCAAACCTGCTCCCGGGTCCGGACGGCGACGCTGAGCCCCGCGACCGCTCCCTCCGCCTCATGCGACTTTGGGACTCAAAAGGGCTGCTCTTCATCTCTTTCCAGAAGAAGGAGCAGCGTGAAGTTACGAGGGTCTTCGGGTCTTACAAATCCGAGACGGCCGATAGGCAGATCGGCGACCGACGAGGCGCGAACTCCTTGGAGGGGAGGCTCGAGGGGCCGTCCAGGTTCCTACCGCCGGGCCATATCCTGTGTCAGCTTTCAGTGCCCCCGGGCCACCGCCTTATAGGTGCAAGCACAGACCGGGCCGACTTCTACCACCAGGCGAGGATCACCGCCTCTAAGGCAGAGGGGAACTGCGTTGGCCCCAGCGTGAGGCTCGGCGACCTTGAGGGGACCGCCACTCTGGCCAAAGCCCGCGCTCTCGCATCCCTTGTCGGCAAGAAGGGAGCGGTATCGAGCCGCCTCCCCCCACTTGGAGAGGCCTGCCTTGTGTCCGCAGATGTGCCAAAGTCCCTCCTGCTGGACGACGGGGCAGAGGTCAGAGGCGCCTTCAGGTCTTTATATCAGGGCGACCACGCCGGCGTCGAGTTTGCGACGCAGGCGCACACTGCGCTACTGCAAGCCTCGGGGCTCCTCACGCGTGAGACCCAGCTCCTCGCAAAGCATGCTCCGAGTCGCGGCGGCCCGTGGGAGGGGCTGATAATAGATGACTTTTTCTCCCTTTCTTCGGAAAAGCTCCACGGCCGCCCCGAAGACTCTACCGCTGCAGTAAAGGTCAGGCAGGCAAAGGCATGCTACTCACAGGCAGGTGTTGCCGGCAGCCCCCACAAGGACATAGACGGCTCCGACCTCTTCCTCGCAGCCGGAGCCCAGGTTGACTCTACGGCAGGTCCCGCCTCTGAAGGGCGAGTGTACGTCTCTGCTCCAACTCCCAAGCTCCTCGCCCTGTCCTTCTTGAGTTTGAAGGCCGCTGCACTCCCCGTCCTCACTGAGGAGCTGGCTTCGAATCTCGCTGGATCATGGATCTCAGTTGTCATGTACAGGAGAGCCCTTTTCTCCATCCTCGATGGTTTCTTTAGTCTGGGGAAGTCTGAAGCCTCCCAAGCAAACGGCAGCCATCTGAGATTTTTCCCTAGGAAGCTTGCCCAGGAGCTCGTCCTCCTGGCCTGCCTCGCCCCCGTTATGGTTTCCAATGTAGCGGCGACTTTTTGTGACCGGATTTTTTGCTCAGACGCCTCGATGCAGAAGGGGGCTTTCTGCTCTACTGCAGCCTCAGTTGAAGTGGCAGCTTCGCTCTGGTTGTCCGCAGACAAGAAGGGTTGTTACACCACTCTTGACCGTTCCCCTGCAACAGCAAGGAAAGAAGAAGAAGACGATGATAGGGATGTTCCCTACGAGGAACCCGCGTCGCTGAGCCGGCCTCTGGCCTTCGACTTCGACGCCCTCTGCCTGCTCTCCGGCTCGGCCAGCCTTGCAAGAGCCTTCGGAGCCTTGGGTTTTAGGCCCTCCCTTGTCATTGATCTCAGTATCTCCCCAGAGTACGACATCGGCAGCTCCCATGTAAAAGAGTGGATACTGTACCTGCTGTGGACAGGAAAGGCCCGCTCCTTGGTTGTCGTTCTCCCTGCCTCCGCCTCCCTCCGCAGGTCTGGGATCGGAGACTCCCAAGCAAAGGGCCCAGCTAGACATAGGCTCCTAGGCTGCTGCCTCTCTTTCTTCAAGGTTGCCGTGAGAGCAATGCGACCCGCGGCCCTTCTCTTTCCCAGGTCAGGTGAGGTCCTCTCCACTTGTGCCGCAAGGGGCCTTCTCAAGGTACGTGGATGCCACCTCCTTCCCCCAGGACTGGAGAAAGGAGAGCCTGCTGCTTATCCAGGGGTCTTCCACCTGCCAGGCCAGGTTCCTAGCGAGTTCTTTGTGTCCCGACAGGTCCCAGGCCTCGCCTTTCAAGGCTTAGCCAGACTCATTGGGACGTCTGCCACAAAGGGGGGCCTCTCTAAAGGGGGTCTGCCTGCAGGCCTCGAAAGCGTAGCTGTAAACGAGGTTCTGCTGTGTGCTCCCTGGAGCACTGACATGTCTTGGCGCTGGGACAGACAGCGACACATTAATGCCCTCGAGACCGAATCGGCCGTCACGAACCTGCGGCAGTTGGCCAGAGAGGGGAGGGACTGCCGATCGGTCCATATCCTGGATTCATCGTGTGCTCGCGGAGCACTTTCAAAAGGGAGGTCATCGGCAAAGTTGCTGAGGCCAGGCCTCAGGAGAGCAGCCGCCATCTGCGTTGCGGGAGGGCTCTTCCCCGCTTACGTGTACGGCCCGACTAGATTGAATGTCTCCGACGATCCCACCAGGGGAGCCGAACTCCGCGCGCCTCATGAGGGGTCGGCCCTGATGGGTTTGGACGAGAGCGCCATCGCCTCGTTGTGTGCTCTCTCTGGGGCCAGCAAGGCCAGGGCCAGGTGGATAAGGGTGTCCCTTCTGCTAGCCTCCCTCGACGGGAGCCACAGTGCCATGATCCAGGCCCTCCACGACTTCCCCTCCAGGCAATGCGGCGCAAGCCCTCCTCCTGCCCTTTACGTATCAGGCTCCGCCGCGCTGCACCCTGCCGAGGTTTTCGCGGCAGCTATCCTCGAAACCGGCCGTGCCCGCCCAGTGCACCTTGGTACTCTGATTGACCTTCTACCTAGCCAAGGGACCGACCGCTTCAAGAGCGAGCAGAACGCTGTGTTTTGGACCACCGGCGCATACGTGCATGGCGGCTTCGCTGGCCTCCGAAAGGCCTGCTATCGCTTCCCGCTCTCTACCACCCTTGTCTGTGAGGTAGTCAAGGGTGTCTGTCCAGACCTCCCCTTCACTTCGGTCGCACTTCTAAAGGAGGTTAGGTCGAGCCCCCACAAGGACCTCAACAACCACCGCGGGTGGCCAAGCCTTATCTTCCCCGTCGGCCATTTCTCACAAGGACAGGTGTGGGTTGAGGGCGGCGCAGAAGACCACGCCCTCTATGTCGGGGGGGCAGAGAGGAGGGGTGAGTTGCTCCACGTTGCGCAAGGCCCCGCCTGGCTCCACGGCCACCGCCTCCACTGCACCATGCCCTGGTCTGGATCGCGAAAGATCGCTGTTGTCTACTCTGTCAGAGATTCCCAGGGCATTCTTAGCCCGGAAAGACAAAAGGCAAGGAAGCTTGGTTTTCGCTTCCCTGGGCCCCACAGCTCCTTCCCTTTTGCAAAGCCTGGCGGCCTGAACATCGAATTCGACTCTACCCTTGGTTTCCCGGGAGAGGGTCCGTCTTTCGCCTTCCTCCTCTTCTGGATTTCATTCCTTGGATTTCTCGGTCTTACCAGGGCCGTCCTCGCCCCTCGAAACCAGGCCGACATCGACCGTGCCGCAAAGAGGTCCCCGGCAGGGCTTCAGGGTGGAAGGGTTATTCTCCCTCGTACGGGGTCAAACAGGGCTGATCTAGCCGCAGCTTTTTCGCGATGGTTAACCGAAGTCGGAGGTTTTGACCTCGCTGCCCTGATCGAGACCAAGCCCCTCGACGCCGAGATGATCGCCGACTGGCTGGTCTGTTATGGCAAGGATCTGTACGGGTCAGGACGCCCTTACTGGCACTACGCAGAGACGGTTAACGCTGTAACAGCAATGAGGCCGGTCCTCCGCCGACAAGTGCAGGCAGCTTGGGACCTGGGCTTTGCTTGGCTCGCCGAGGAACCATCGACGCACCATACCGCCATACCGGCAGTAGTATTAGTAGCTGTCCTAGCTGCCTGTCTTTCCTGGGGATGGGTGGCCGAGGCGGGCTGTTTTTTCGCTGGCGTTTGGAGGTTTGATGAGGATCGGAGAAGTTCTACAAGCCACCAGGGGCTCCCTTGTGCTACCCGAGGACATGCTTTTCTCTCAGCATTTTGTCCTCGTCAGCATAAGGGAGCCGAAGACGAGGAACCGGGGACCACGTCATCAGGCGGCAAAGATTGAGGCCCAAGACCTGGTACAAGTCATCGGCATGGCTTTTGGTGGGCTGAGGAAGGACCAGAAGCTTTGGCCAATGTCCCCGCAGACGCTCAGGAAGCGTCTGGATCTGGTCCTGCGCAGGGTCGGAGCTGCCCCAGGACCAAAAGGTGCCAGGCCCATCGACTTAGGATCTTTCAGAGCTGGCGGAGCGACTTTCCTGCTCCAGCAGACGGAGGACTCCGAGTTGGTCCGGCGACGAGGACGATGGGCTTCGGCAAAGATAATGGAGATATACCTCCAAGAAGTTTCTGCGGCTATCTATTTGCCCTCGCTGCCACGAGAGCAAAAGCAGAAGGTGGCCCAGGTTGCTTCTGGTTTCAGGGGTATCCTTCAGCAGGCCTGTCTATGGACACGCCAAGGC